TTCCCCTCTGCTGCCAGGCCCCGTTGGTCTGTTGGGGCCCGCGCGGCTCCCGGCGGCTCCGCTGCCCGCGCGGGGCTGGGGCAGGCGCTGGGGCAGGGACAGGGCTCGTCCGGGGCCCCTGCAGCTCCCCCCGCTGGCGTGAGCCAGGGTGGAGTACGGGGTACACCCCACGTGCATGCACATCAGGTAGAGAGAGATACATATATATATATATACACACACACACACAACAAACACATGCGCATATGTGTATTCATATATGTGTAAAAAAATGTGGTGTCGCAGCAGTTGATCGCTTGGTCTTTAACCTATAACTTTCTACAGACTTAATGAAGTATCTGACTGTCTATATTTATTCTTCTGTGCCTAAATAATACTGTGTAAATTAGAAACTGATATAGTACGTTTTCTACAGTCAAGCTGAGTTTTAGTTTTTGTTTTTTTTTTTTCTTTATCCAAAATACTCAGTTTTACACTGTGGTAGCAATTTGTATGATTTCTTGAATAATTTTAAGCTAAAATGGGTTAGCACTTTGTGAAGAATGTAGCAAATGCTCTGTCAATGGTGGCTGATCAGGCCGTGCGTACTTATTTTACTACATTTCTCGTCTCTGAATGTTTGCATTTTTAATGACTTTTTAATAGCTTTTTACTCTGTACAGTTGAGCCGTGCTGTGGAGCTCCTTTCGGGAGCCAGATACCTGCTCTTCTAAAAGCTGGGGAGGAAGGATGTAACGTGGGGGCAGGAGGGGCCGTTGCCTTCTTGGCCCTGCAGCTCTTGGCTGCCCTGTGGGCAGCGGCTGCGGTGACGCTCCCCTGGCTGCCAATCCTGCTCAAGGATTTGCTGGGTGAGACGGTGATCAGTAACTTCTGATTTTTTACAATGGATTACTTCAGAATTTATCAGAAAATATGCAGTTCGTTACAGGGGCGATACTGACTTTTTAAAAATGCATTGCCTTAATACATAGTTTCTCCTCCTATTTTTCCAGGAAAAGCAGCAAAGTCTGTTGGTGTTGCCCGCCCGAGGGGGCAGGCGCTTTAACCGTGTAGTCGCGTTTCTGTTAACGATAGTTCTAAAGCTGTAATTTCTATTTATTGGAAGCCCGTGTCCGAACGCTGCCCCGGGCGCTGTGCGGAAGGCGGGAAGGGTCTTCGGGCAGTCGCTGCTCCGCGGTGTCACGAGGCGGCCGGGCTGGCGGCCCCTGCCCCCCGCGTGCGGGGGCTCCCCGTGCTGCCCGCTGAGAGCGGCGGTCTGGAATAACCGCGGTGGTGGAGCGAGCGCTTAGCGTTTTCTAATAAATTCACTAAGCTCTAAATGGTCTCTCTGGTCTTGAATCGTTCTGGCTCGAGTGTTGAATCCAAAGGGCCGTGTTCCCAGCTTGCTCCTCTCCCTCCTGTTTTACTTGGCCTGGCCTCCCGCTCCTCACGGCATCCTGTGGCATTCGCTTGGTCTGTCCCCCCACTCGTCCCTCTACAACCATCACGCGAGAAGGGAGACAGGAAAGACAGAGGCCCTGGACACAGCCCTCACACCCCCCGAGTCCCCGGGACCAGAGGAGATGCAGGGAAGCAAGAAGCGAGGATGACTTCCCATGGCGGGGGAAGCTCAGACTGGGCAGATGCAGGTTACTTTTAGTCATTAGGATCTGTTGCAATATACTTCAACAGTACTTTAAAAAAGCACGAGTAAGTACAATAAACTAGGTAGTAAAATTCTATAATTAAAGAGTTCTTACTAGGAGCAACAGTTGTCAAAATAATCATAGAACATCTATGATAATGAGGGAAAAAAACCCCACTAACTTAAAAATTAGAAAAATAAAAAAAGCTCAATTAACCACTTCTTCCCTAAGAGCAGATGCATGAATGGGGAAGCGCAAGCCGGGAGACTGAACCGATTTCAGCTTTATGTTTCCAGTGTGAGTGAGTTGTTACCTGGTCTCCACTTGGGTAGTGCCAGGGCAGCTACCGCAGGGCGCTGCGTCCTCGTTACACCCAGCAAACAACCCACCCCAGAGTGGAATCCAGCACTGAGAAAATCCCCTGCACGAGCCAAGCGCAACGCTGCTGGCAGCGGCCACCCGCAGCGTTAGCCCGAAGGCGCCGCAGAAAGGAGAGCTACAGCCACGGAATTTTTAATGAGGAACAATCAATCAGAAATAGCCAGGGATTCCTAGAGGCTTCCATGCAAAGCCACCACCACCACTCAAATTCTGGAACTTTAACAAGGGAGATTATTTAGCAGTTCCAGAGCTTTCTACAGAAGTTCAATGATTGTGGGAGCACAAAGGTCGGTATGCAAGGGTCCAGTACAGGTGATGTGGGGCATGAAGGCTGCATCCTGCTGCCTCGCTGAGCGAGGACGGGGCCCCAGACACGCGATGCGAGGAGCGCCCACGGTCACAGCAGCCACACGGCCCGGCTCCATCTCAGAGCCAAGAGAGGAGCTTCTTCCTTTCGGGGCAGGGTGAGGTGCAGGGGCTGCCTGCGCCGCACGGAGGTTTCCGGAGTACTCAGTGGGTTCAATCATCATCATCACTTACAGCAGTGCCAAGGAGAACCCGTGGTGGGGGTAGGGCCCAGCTGTACTTGAGGCTCCACGAAGACGACCAGGTGACCGTTTCTGCCCCAAACAGCTGTCACAGTCCTAAGAACCCAGCAGAGCTCCCCTCACATATTGACACCTGTGGAGAAAGAGAAGCACTGATGAACAGTTGGAGACATGGAGCCACAAGTCACTCAGGATGCACTTCCTGCAACACCTCCCGCAAATCACAATGGCAAATGTCTCTGGTTTTAAATGGGATGCTGCACCCCCGCCAAGGGAGGGTGATCAGAAGGTCTTTTGGCCAGCAGTGAAGAAAACATTGCACTTGTGGAACAGATAAATACATGACTTCTATTACGCATTTAATGTTAGTATTGCAGGGATTTGTGTTACATACAAAACGCTAATCACTACTTACTCTCCCCCTCAATGAACTTTGGAAAATCAGATTTGTCACCAGCAGCTTGGAGCTGTTAAGAGCTAAATGACAGCAAGCCCACCCCACCCGCCCCCACACAGCTATTTATTACACTCCACACACGACAGAGCCTGGCGATCGCCGCGACAGGCACACTGCTATCGCTAAACTAACTGCACAGGGTCCTGCTTATTTTTTTCTCCCCCACAAATACTCCCAGACTGAATGTATGTGCATATATATGCATATATATATATACACACATACGTACATATTTAGAATTAATGGCTACTAAGTATTTCCTAGTTAAACAATACAGCACAAAACAGAATACATACATCATTATAAAATTACAATATATTTTTTTGGCCTTTACTTTTGCTCAGGAAATAAACAGCCGAACTTAGGTATTTGGGCTGCCTTCAAAGTAAGGAAAGTTTGAGGCAGCCAGCTTAAGTTTCATCCATTCTACACACTGGAAAAGGCATTTAATAGAAATTACACGAAAATGCCAGGTCCTGCATAGCTCACTAAGCCCCAAAACCTTGCAGTATCAGACTGCTTCCCTTGAAACAAGGCTGTCTGTGCGTAGGCAGTAACCTGTGCAATGGAATTCCCACACTTCCTCCCAAAGACTACTCCGTACCTCACTTTTTTCTTTGTTTTCATGTCATTAGTCCATGTTGTAATTCCCGGGAATAGTCAAATCAGCTCCTGTCTGCACTTGCAGGTTCACATTCTGCAATCCAGTTAACATTTCTTTCTCTCTGAAAAAAATCAGACATCATGTAAAGCGATTAATTAGTTCCAAATTCAATGAGGCAATAACAGCTGCGCCAGAGCTATACGTGAATGCATCAGTTTTCCAGAAAAGCAGTAGCTGGCTTTAGATTTATTATAACCTCACTCTGGAGAGGGTGGGTTCTCACACACGTTATCTGGAAGATCTAAAGGCCATGGCAGTAACGGGGAGCATTAAAGCAGTGATTGGCTGAAGACTGATCAGTGGAGCATTAAAGAGTGCGCAGGTCCCTGCTGCAGCGTGAACAGGGCTTGAACATTTGTTCATCGTCCACTTTTGAGGAGCTCTCTGGAGACCGGGGCAGCGGTGCCAGTCTCGGTCCTGCCGGAGCCAGACCCAGAGCCTCCTGCCTCCCGCGCGTTCCCGGGAGGAGACAGAGAGGTGGCGGGATCAGCCGGGCCGGCTGCAGATCCCACACACACCTCCCTCGAGCGGCGCACACAACGCTGCCTTCAACGGGGCTTCTGGGGAGAAGCTGCAGGGGATGCCAAAACTAGTATGCCAAAAAAAAAAAAAAAAGAAAAAAAGAGAGGAGTTTTCTTGTTTCCCCACAGTCCATCCTCTCTATCAATTAAATTACTATCTTTTTCTCCCAAAATATGTCTACAGTCTCCAGCTTAAATTAAAAACAAAGCAGGAACTATAGCACATGCTCTACATAAGCCACCTTGTGTTCTGATGGAGGTGCCTCCCTGAATCAACTTGCTTTTCCTAAGTGCTGCCACGTTGCAGGGAACACGTCACTAAACACGAGTAGATCCATCCAAGTCATGACCCTGTGAGGGTGAGAGCAGAACAGCCCCAGACCTCAACGGGGATGAAGTCTCAACACAGATGCACCTTCCAGCAGCTGTGATACCAGATCCTTTGACAGGCGGTTCCTAGAAAACAGTTTAATAGATCTATTGCCTACAAGACAAGCTG